AAGTGAATGAGCGTCCTGCGAGCGTGTGCGGTGCGGCCTGGCTGGATGGTCCCGACTCCAGAGTGCAGACAGGCCGTGTGGGGCCGGGCATAGGGTCCACTAGCACATCCAGACCCCGCACTGGTCACAGAAATGCTGTGAGCCCGTGTCGTCATCTGCGCCACGGAGGTAAAACGGAGCCCCTTCACAGCTGTGAAGATGCAATGAGGTCAGTCACACGTGCACCTGAGGATTTTTATTGCAGTCTGTGGCAGGAAACAGAATTCATGCCTGCCCCGTGGCAGCTTTCAGTCCAGTGTGACACAGAGATCAAGCAGACAAACGGGTCCCGGAAGATGAAACAAACAAGGTACCAGGTGGGGGAAGGACGCTCAAGTGACACTGAAGATGAACCCTAAAGTTCTGAGAAGGCAAGAACTGCACATGGGGAGTAGAGGCCCTAGCAGGAAAGGGCTGCCCCGGCCAACACCTAGCCTCTGTGCTCACAGGAAGGCAAAACGGAGGGAAGGCCAACAGCTGAAAAGTCAGCCGTGGCCATGGGGGTTCAGGGTAACTTACTTTCTTCTTGGTATCCCAATACTGCTTAGCTTACTTTTTATAACAACATACATAACCAAGAAACAAAGCTGATTTTGGAGGAAATCAAAAACAAGAATGTGTTCTTCCCTGTTTAGCTCTGGAGAGCTGGCATAGACCACCCCAGCCTCATTGATTAAAAAACCCGCACCCTGGCACCCTCAACTGTGCCCCTCACAGGGCTCCTCGCTGCCCCCTGCCCCGGGCCTGGCACTGAGCCGCACATTGCCATCCTCAACTGTGCCCCTCATAGGGCTCCTCGCTGCTCCCTGCCTGGCACTGAGCTGGACACTGCCATCTTCAACTGAAGTCTCTCAGTGACTCCCGCTGGGCCTCTCCCAGGGTGTGACTCTGGTCACGTGCCCTCCTACCCCAGAGCCACACAAGCCCCCGTGGAGGGCTGCCAGGAGCCCTGGGAGGCGAGACTGGCAGGCACAGGACCTCCTCTTGGCAGCTGTCCCCCTGGCTCCTGGCTGGACCTTCCAGGGGCCGGAGAGGGCACAGGAAAGATGCAGTAGAATTGGCTTTAGTAAGGCGGCTGTGTTGGACCAGGCCTCCTGGGCCCCTCTGTGGCCAGAGGGTCCACTGTCCTGGGAGGAGGACAGACTCTGAGCCCGGAGCCCGGCTCCAAAGGGCAGAAGAGCCGCTGACAAGTCCATCCTCAGAACCTAGTGTGTCCTCTGAAAAGGGCGACCCGTGGTCCTGACAGGCGGCCTGGGTGCCTACCACAGGTCAAGAAGAGAGCTCTGCGTGCTTTTCACTTAAGACCCCTCCTCTTTCAGGCCTTTAACCACAGAGCCTCTCCTCCCTCCCACCTACCTAGTCCCCCCAAACCTTCAGTTCAGGTGTCACCTCCTCCAGGAAGCCTTCCCCTGGATTAAGAGCACACACCCCACTGTTTAACACAGAGGTGGGACAGGGGGTGGGAAACAGTGGTGACAGAGGTGCCATCAGCTTGTGGTCTCAGATGCTGAGGCCGCTCAAGCAGAAGAGAGAGGCGAAGGCAAACAGCCTTCGCTCCAGAGAACCGGGATGCCTGGCAGAGCCATGAGGGTCACCTCCCGCAGAGGGTGGTGATGGGGAGGCACAGGAAGGGGCGGGCTGGAGGAGGAGGACCCAGGCTGTGACACAGCCAGGGTGAGCCTGCAACTCGGACCACAGTTGGGCGTTTCTCCTCCCAAGGGCACACCTGGCAACGTCTGGAGACATTTTTGGTTGTCATAACCGAGGCACTGCTGTTCTTCTAGTGGGTGGAGACCAGGGCTGTCGCTTTAAACACCCCACAATCACAGGGCAGCCCTCCCCAGCTCCCCCCCAATGAATGACCCCATCCCAAAGGTCAGTAGGGCCACTGTTGAGAAACTGCCTCATGGAGGCCCGGGGACCCCAGACTCTCCAGGGTCTTGGCCCAGAAGCTTGGCTGACAGAAGCAACGTCGTAGACCACAATGACAATACCACCGTAGCCACCTTGGGGCACCCCGGCACAGGTCACTAGAACCACCCCCCATGGTGGCTCCGGGGCCGTGTTATCACTGCTGCCAACAGCATGGCTCCCACCTAGGCTGGGGCATGGGGTGGCACTTCAGTCACCTGACTGAATGACTGGACCCTAGCTGCAAGGTGGGGATGGACAGACACGTGTCCTGGTGCCCTCCTGGCAGGAAGTAGATGGGCTTGGCTATAGGAACACTCAGGAGGTGGAGTCCAGGACAAACAACAAGCAAAGGGAAGGGGGACAGGAGAGGCAGGAGGGAGGGGCAGGCAGAGAGAAGGAGAGGGGAAGGCAGGGG